GAGCATGCGGCTCACCTGATGGTAAGTGACTACCGCCGCCCATGAACAACCGCAACATCAGGGGAATTGCAGATGCGTTGCCGGCCTTTTAAAAAGGAGTAGGCTCTTTTCTTGAAGGTCCCTAAGTCATATCGGTCCGGAAAAATCGCTGATGGTAATCGATTCCACAAGGAAGTCGTGCGAGGAAGAAAACATCTTCTAAATCGCACAGTGGTGGACCGCCAATCATCCAGATGGTGTGGATGGTATCGGGAGTTCTGCCGCGATGTGCGTTCATGAAATTTGGCGGCTGGGATTAATCCGAACAATTCCTCAGAGCACTCCCCATGGTAGATGCGAAAGAAAATGCAAAGAGATGCAACATCTCTTCGCAGTGCCAATGAATCGAGCCGATCGGAAAGGGCTCGGTCGTCGACGATTCGAGCCGCTCTGCGCTGGATGCGGTGAAGTGGAAGGAGCTGGCACTGGGGAGCCCCTGCCCAGAGATGGGAACAGTATTCCATGTGAGGCCGAACCTGCGCCTTGTAAAGTTGCAGGCGGTGTGCCGGCATGAAATACTGTCCCGCTCTGCTGAGCACGCCAAGCTTTTTAGAGGCCAATTTGGCCTTCTCTTCCAAGTGACCACGAAACTGCACGTCACTCGATATGTCGACTCCGAGGATACCGATACTGGCTGAGGCAAGAAGGGGAGTGCCTTGAAACTGAGGAGATACGACAAAGGGGTTCTTTTTAGCGGTAAACGCGCAAACTTGTGTCTTCTGAGGATTAAACTGGACTAGATTTAGTCGCCCCCAATCCGAGACTTTGTCCAGCAAAGACTCGACTTCAGACACAAGTTTGTTCCGGTACTCGGCGACGTTTTCCCGAGAAATATTGGCCCGGCCGGTGTATAGAGCATCACCAGTGCTGTCATCCGCATAGCAATGAATGTTACCAGTTAGCAACATATCATTGATATGCAGAAGAAACAGCGTTGGTGATAGCACACAGCCTTGTGGAACACCAGCGTTAATAGGCTTGTAGTCAGAACATGCACCGTCTACAACGACCTTGATGCTCCGATCTGCAAGGAAGCTGGTGATCCAATTGCACAATTTCTCGGGAAGCCCATAGGAAGGGAGCTTCGAAAGAAGCGCTTTGTGCCAAACCCGATCGAAGGCCTTCGCAATGTCCAGACTAACGGCCAACGCCTCCCCCTTGGACTCTACTGCCTCCGCCCATCTATGGGTCAGGTAGACTAGAAGATCACCAGCTGATCGACCCCGACGAAAACCGTATTGGCGGTCACTGATCAGCTGGTGATCCTCAAGGTACCGGATGAGCTGGCAGTTAATAATGGATTCCATTATTTTGGAGAACAAGGAGGTGATCGCGATAGGCCTATAGTTGGACGGGTCTGAGCGGTCGCCTTTTTTAGGGATCGGGTGGACAAAAGCTGTCTTCCATGAGTTCGGGACAACGCCATGGGAGTAGGAGTACCGGAAAAGACGCGTTAGAACCGGTGCCAACTCCGGAGCACACGTCCTCAGCACAATTGGGGGGATTCCGTCAGGCCCACTCGACTTGTGGATGTCAAGGGAGAGGAGTGCTCTGCGAACCGAGCGTTGTGAGAATAGCACATCCGGCATAGAGCACTCACACCGCGGGATGGTCGGCGGTGTGTTCCCCCCGTCATCAACAGTCGAGTTGGACGCAAAAAGGGAGCCTAAAAGGTCGGCCTTCTCTTTTGCGTCGTGGGCCAGTGAGTCGTCCTCCCTGTGCAGAGATGGTAGTGATGGCTTACAGAAATTCCCTTGGACAGCCTTGGCGAGACACCAGAATGCACGGGTTCCCGAAGGAAGGCGAACTAGTTTCTCGCCAATTCTGCTTATGTGCTCTGACTTTGCCTTGGCAATAACTCTTTTGAAGGACCTGGAGGCGAAGTTATACTTCTTTTTAAGTGTGCTGGTGTTTACATCCCGAGTCACCGAAGCCGCAGCCCAGGCTTGATAACACTCCTGCTTTCTGCGCAATGCAGTCTTACAGGAGCGACCAAACCAAGGCTGAGACCTGTGGTATTGCGCGGTTCGCATATGAACTGGTCACGTTTCAATCAGATGACCGGGACTGGTGTTGGTGGCCCAGTGTGAGTTCCCGGGGTCCTGTGGACTCTTGGGCTGCTGCCGAGCCCTTGGTAGTCGCGGCCTTGCGCCTTCGATGGCATTTAAAGACCAGTCTCCCCAGGCATCGAGCGACCACCTGTGCAACAGCATTCGGCAAAATTCTGATCTGCCAAGCCTCTTAGACGGGAGAATGGGGACTAGTGGCGTCTCTCGTGGCAGCCATAATGATTAGTGATTACGTTCACTAAGACGATGGCATGATGATCGGCGGAAATAGCCAAATGTCTCGTTATCTAATTAGTGACGCGCATGAATGGATTAACGAGATTCCCACTGTCCCTATCTACTTCGGGACTTTGGTTCCGGTCGTTGTAGCGATCGGACGTGTCGCGAGCTCGCGCTTACTTTGTTTTATCTCATTGCGTTATTTATAATTTTATTGTTGTGTTTATTGCTTTTTGTTATATATACTTTTCTTTTTTTTTGGTATATAGTTTTAATAATAATTTAAGTTGTTGCGAATTGACGCTAAAATAGATAGTTTTGTGGATTATTTGTGACATTGTGACTTTAGTGGTTAGTGTTGGCACGTGACTGTCAAAGTTGGGATTAGATTTTGACGGGATATTCGAGTGCCTTCTAGAACCTTCGGTGGCTACTCGCCGCCAGGGGGCGATAGTGTACATTTCCGGCACTGCGACGCCATCTGCGGGCGCCGTGCGCACAACCAGCACGGTTTGTGCTATCTGTGCCTAGCAGTGCAGGTGTGGCGACTGTTGTGCCGCGCGCCGCTGAGTGGCGCTAGGTGTGTGTCCGAACCCTAGCGACACCTGTTAAAGCTAAGTTGTACTATTTCCCGTGACAGTGACACTCTATTTATAGTTTAGCTTATATTTATTAGTTTAGGTTAGTGTCGCCAGAGGGCGCCACTATAGCTGTGAAGTCAGCGACATCTTGTGTTTGGGCGTGACTGTGACACTTTTAGTTTTAGGTTGCTTTTAAATTCTCTATTATTACGTTTCGGTCCGGGTGATGCCCGTTATAGGGCGCTGGTGTGATTTTCCCCACATACCTAGCGACCACTTGGGTCACTAAAAATTTTTCAGACTTTTCGAAATTTTTGTAAATTTTTACGAGTAGAACCTTTTGCCTCCCTATATATGTGGACCATTGGGAATGCCCCTCCGTCAGCTTAATTTTTGAAGTTAGAAAACTTTAATAATTTTTAAATTTTTGAATTTTTCTTTCTTGTTTTTTGGGCTGAACCTTTTAAATATTGACACTGCACAGTGTAAATAGAAAATTGTGGTGATGTGGGATGAACCCCCCCCCCCTTTTTGTACCGCGAAAATCCCTGGCGCGCATGCCCCCCGGGTGTGCTTCGGCGAGGCCTGCAGGTCCGGGTGCGCAGAACCCGAAGGGAAGTACAAGCGCTACGGCCGAAAAGCGGCCGCTCACATCTCCGGACCAGCAGCAGCCCATGATGCAGCGCCAGAAGCTGGAATAGGAAAAGAAGAGAGTAGGAACTGCGGCCCCAGTTGCAGCCACCTCTGAAGTAGTTAGGCCAGCTGTTGAGGAGGACCTAGAGAGCATAGAGGAGGCGTCTGATGCATCCAAGGCCACTCCTCTAGAAATTATTGAGCACACACGAGCGGCGGTAAAACAATAATGGGCATCGTCTCTGGTCCGGTTCGAAATTGAATAAAACGGAGGTCAATAAAATTTCGGTTACTGGACAGGATATGATCGCGATGGTGGCGGCGATGGAGGTGCAAGTCATGGAGGCACAGTTAGCTTTATGTACAGCAGAGAGGGACTGGGCTTATGCGGAGGCGAAGCTGTCGCATCAGGAGGCCACGCGTGCACCCGCAGGTGACGGGGACCATGCCCCCAGCAACTTTTCATCCGTACTGAGGATGCCAAAGGGCGTTATGTCGGTGCCCATCCCCGAGAAGTCTGGTCCAGTCCTGGCCTTCTACCCAGCTGGGGAGCAGGCACACTTGAAAACAGCGGACGACACAAAGGCGGAATTGAAGGATTCGGTGAAGCCTTCCGAAATTAACATACAAATTTCCAATCTTAGGAAGGTGGGGAATGCTGGGGTGGTGGTCCAGACCACGTCCCAGGAGGCGGCATTAAAATTGAAGACTGCTGCTCCTCCCACATTGAGGATAGCAGAGCCACGACAGCGCCAGTCACTAGTTGCGCTGCGTGGCTTTGAAGACGACACTAAGAATGAGGAAATCTTGCCTGCCCTCCACGATCAAAATTTTGGTGAAGATGAGAAGTGGACATTAGAAGAAATAAGCGCGCAGTGCAAAGTCGCTTTTAAGAAATCGTGGAAGGGCAGCAGGCGAACTACAGTGGTGCTACAATGCACCTCTGCTTTTAGAGACGCGTTGACGGCAAGGAAAAGACTGTACATAGGATGGGACGTCGTCGAACCCTGTGATTATATTGACGTCACATGCTGCTAAAAATACCAGCAGTTCGGACATCCTGCCAAATACTGCATGGCTAAGGAAGCCACATGTGGCAGATACGGAGAAGAGGGGCACACCAAAGAGGAATGCAAGTCCTCTGAGACATGCTGTGCTACATGTCGGAGATTTGGCAAGGCGGGCGCGAAGACCCACGCCACGATGGCGAAGTCCTGCCCGGCTAGGGTGTACGCGGAGAAAAGGGCCATAAATACCACGCAGTATGGGTAAGGTGGACCATCTGGATATTGGGCAGCTAAATCTGGGGCGGGGCGAGGTGGCCACAAAGGAGCTGCCCGCATTAGCGTGCAACCTTTCCTTGGACATTATTCTCGTTCAGGAGCAGTGGGCTCAGTCTGCAGACCTAATCCAGTTTGGTGCGGAGCCCCAGGCAGGTATTACGATCCCAGGAGAGCACATGGGTGTGGCTGGGCTGCCACATCTTAGTAACTCCCACTGCGTGGTTTGCCATGTGGAGAAGTACGGTCTCTACCTTATCTTTGCGTACTTTAAGTACAGCGACTCAATCGATCAACATCTGAAACACCTAGAGATCGTACTTGACCAGTTAAAGGGCAAGCGCGTTGTCATCGGAGTTGATAGCAACGCGAACTCGCCGCTCTGGTACAGTGACAGAGCACAAATAGTGGGAAGAGGACATGAAGCAGAGCATCGCAGGAGGATGATGGAGGACTTCATCATGACGCGAGGGCTCACTCTGGCCAATGTGGAGGGACAACCGCCCAAGTTCGCTGGGGCCATGGGTGAGTCAAACATCGACCTCACCCTTGCGACGAGAGGTGTAACTGTATCGGAGTGGCGAGTACTGGATTCCGCCAGCACGGGCGACCATCGCCTCATCGCGTTCAAGATTGCGAGAGAGGGCCGGAGGAGGTGCCTGCTCGTTTTCAGGACCGGGGGGTTGACTGGCGCTATTTTCGCGGTACAATTCACTTGAGAATGGGAATTCTGAAAGTTCAACAGCCGGCTGACCGACTCTGCGCGCAGTTGACGGAAATCGTCGTCCGATCTGCGGAGGACGTGCTGGGGAATTAGCGCCCGATTTTCGCCTGATGAACTGACAACATGGATGTACCTTAAACAAATCTTGACGTAATTTTTAAAACCTTCAGTTAAAAAAAAATATTCAGTCGTTTTTTTATCTTTATTTTATTTATATTTTGTTTTCCGTTCAGTCATTTAGTCACAATACTATTTTTGATTCATCAAAACCTGACAACCCAATAAACGTGAGGCAGCTCCGTTTAATAAAAATACGACTGTAGGTGGGTACATTTTGGAAACCCGTAAGGTCGCGTCGGTTTCATTTCGTGTACGACCGCTGTTCAACGGTCAGATCAGAACTGGCACGAAAAACGGAAATCGGACTGTCTAATTAAAATAAAGCATTGCGATGGCCCTCGCGAGTGTTGACGCAAAGTGATTTCAGTCCAGTGCTCTGAATGTCAAAGTGAAGAAATTCAAGCAAGCGCGGGTTAACGGCGGGAGTAACTATGACTCTCTGAGGTGGGTTCTTGACGCCGTGGTGGTGTTAAGAACGATAATACTGATAGCCTCTTAACGGGAGGAGATAGTGGATTTTCCTCTCTCGACAGAGCAAAGTGTGGTGATTGGAAAACCGCCAGCCATTTTTCAGCCACTTCAATACACGACCTTTGTCGAGTTTTGCAAATGGGGTTTGTGTGCCTGGGTGGCCCTAACCAGACACGCGGACTCAACTCCTACCCGAGGCCTGCACGTGGCGCTGCCGCTTATAACAGACACGGGAAGGGGGGACGTGCCTAAACTAAGAGGCGGCTGTTGTGGGGTAACAGCCTCGTGATTCGTGACACATTCCTAATCCTGCGAGGCCCAGCGCGTTTCCATTATAGTCTCCCGTTCATTTGTCTCTTAGCGGTTTTCAGTCGTGTCGTTGGAAGTCGAACGGGAGACTTTAGTCAGGCTTATGAACCGGGTTTGCTAGATTCGTCTAGTATGCGCAGCGTCCTATATCTTGGGACGTAATCCAGGCAAGGTTCGGGGGGAGGTTCCCTGAAAAGTTCCATCGGGTGGCAAACGTGCCGCCAAGTCGGACCGCTGACTTCGGCCGGGACAATACGGGGTGCGATAGGCGAACCAGGTGGCTAGGCTTGCACCCCGGCCACATTGGGCAAACCAACAAGCACAAGACAAAATAAGAAGGAAACGATTATTTTGCCACCCTGGCTTCTCACAGGAGCCTGGGAGCTTGGCCCAATCTTCGGCCACTCAAACTGGGGCTCCGGCCACAGATCCGCGGTCGCTGACTGGATGTGTCCGGTGTGCGTTAACAAACAAAACTGGGTTGGGGGTCCACAAGCGTCGGGCCCACCCCGAAGTAGCAAATGCGGAGGCCGCTCCTAATATGTTAAAACGCAGGTGGCGCGATGAGGAGCTGGCATTGATGCGTTGCACAAACGTAGACCTGCTCAGAAGCCAGTCGGGGTCCGAGCGGACCCTAGAGGCTATTTTAGGAGAGGCGCCGTGGGGAATATAAGCTCCTGGTACAAGCGTGCAGGGAAGAGTACAGATCCCCAACAATGAGCAGCCAACCACCTGAGAGCAGGGGTTCGACACGACCGGAATCCGAGTGTCGAGATGACGGTCCAGCCTCTGCCAGCTGAAAACGCACCGCCTGTCGCTGATGACCCATCACCGCATTTAGGTGGTGTCCCAGAGAACACGTGTGCAGACCGACACGGCTTGGGTTCCCGTAGTGCGAGGCGGCACCGCATATCGAACGTGACTCGGGCCGACACCGTACTGGCCGGTATGTCGAGCCGCAAGCAGAGGAGATTAGAGTACGCCAGGGTACAGGGAGCTATTCCAGAAGTGTCGCAATCGAGCAACAGCCGAGGTGATCGATGGAGTGCACAGGAGCGTCCAGCACTCTCTCGAAGATTTGGAAGCCTATTGGCGACCGGTCCTAGAGAGGGTGTGTGACGCCTCAGGGCCTACACCGTCTGCTCTAAACGTGTTACGGCGAGAGGAGCAGTATGGGGTCGCATGCGATTACTCTCTCCGCTGTGGTTGCCCTTTACGTCCGACGAAGTGAAGGTGTCCAAGTTTGACTGGCAGACAGCGCCTGGTCCGGACGGTATCCGCCCGGATGAGTGGCGCTTAGTTCCTGCGGCCCGAACAGCGGAAATTTTCAACTCCTGGTTGATCGCTGGCGTAATACCAGAGCCCCTGCGGCAATGCCGGACGATCGTCGTGCCAAAGATGGACGATCTTGCTGGGCCGGGCGACTATCGACCGATTTCGATCACTTCGATACCGCTTAGGCACATGCACTCGGTCCTGGCGAGGAGACTTCTGGATTGCTGCCCCCCCCCCCTTCCGATGCACGACAGTGTAGATTCGACCGCGCCGACGGCACGTTGGAGAATTCGGCCGTACTGGACGCGGTGCTAGGGGATAGCAGGAAAAAGCTAAGAGAGTGTCATGTGGCGATTCTCGATTTCGCTAGGCGCTGGCCTATGCCGATAACCTAGTCCTGCTTCCAGACTCAGTGGTGGGGATGCAGGAATCCATTGACCGGTTGTTCGAGTTTTCGTCGTCGATGGGCCTCACGGTCAATCACACCAAGAGTTCCGTCTTGTCGATGGTGCCTGACGGGAAGCGCAAGAAGCACCACTTTCTGACCGGGAAGAATTCCCGGATAGGTAGGAAGTGGCTGCCTTAAACCTTTTGCGTGGAACGCTGGCGCTATCTTGGCATCGACTTCCAGGCGTCTGGATGCGTGGCGTTAGAGCATGATATCAAAGTTGTCTTGACCAATTAACATAATTAACACTTATGCTATGAATTTATTTTCAAATTCAATATATTTTGATTTTTTAAGCAACCAAATATATTCTATTCGCGCCAAACGCTAATTTCAAGAATTAACGCGAGAGGGCGCTCGGCGCGGTGCAGCCATACCGGTTTTGACGTCGGCCGAGCGGTGGGTTGAGAACGCGTAAAGGCGAATGAGTCGTCTGTAAGCGGTGCTAACGTTATCACGCTGTCAATTTTGTCGGGAACTCGGAATAATTAGGCGCGCACAGTAAATATACGGTCTAGGATTTGTGGCGCGCATTCCTGCTGGAGAGCTTCCTAGGGACTCATTGTGTCTGACTCAGAATCTGCATAAGTGCATTCGGCATTTTTAGCTAGTGCGGCCTTTGATATTCTAGAAATAACTGTTGCTACGCGAAACGGTAGACACCTTTGATCCGGAAACTCCGTGTGCGTTTTATGCGTTAACCTTATACCCAGCGAGAGTTAGTTGCTTCTGTAAGTTAGTTAATCGTACGATAGAGTTAATTGACTGTCATCGTGACGAACGAGGAAAGTGCCAGTGGATAACACCGCGGAAGGTTCCCTCAATTTGGAGCGGTGTCGACGCCCGGGCTGCTGCCGACGGCCAAGGTCTAGGGTCAATCACCATCAGTCACACCCAGATACACATCACATCACCTTATTTCCCTTGCACTACACAACCACATGCGACCTGACCGACTCCGGAGGGACCAGTCGCCTTGGATATAGGTAAGTAAGCTCCGTCTAACATCCTCCCGGTCGACTGGCCGTAGTATAGAACGCTCCTCCACATAGTTTAGTATAATTAGAGAAATTCCATGTGGCCACATTGAGGCCCGACCTACGTCTGCTCGGGAAGTCTTCTGCTCATGGGCCCCAGAGGATTTGACCCTTTTAGGGAGCAGCCGTAGGCCGTAACATATTCTATAGAAAAACTGTTTATTATAACAGAATAAATATTTTGTGTTCTTTCCTTGGCCAAGTAAAAGTTTCAGAAATTGCTAATGCAATAAGAGCAATTGAAACTAGCAAGCCTACTAGATAGATAACTGAGCTCATAAAATGTTAACTAGGTAACTGGTAAAAGGTAAAACTAGGTAAACGTTCTGAAACAGATTGTTTCAAACTAAATTGAGCCTCTTACTGGTGAAAACCCATGAAGGGCAAATATTTTATTAAATTCCACATAACAGATTCAAGACACAAAATTAACTATATAACCCTTAAAATATATACAGACTACAGACAAAAAATACCCAACCAATCTGATACACTCTTTGCTTATTCTGAACCTTCAAACTAATTTAATTTACAAAAATGACCGCTGCAACATTACTTACGCTATTTTTGAATAAATTGAATTGGCAAATTATGACAACCTTAAAAAGTCATCAGAGCAAACATATACAGTACATATTTTTATGCAGAAATACTACATCAAACTCAAAATCTGATTTTCAAATGAACAGTTGCCTTTAATATTTTTTTAATTATCATATGCATTTAGCCATAATGAAACACGAACTGGTGCAACGAGAAACAATAAATGATGATTGTCCAACAGTGCTGTCTTCTAGAACTATTACGGACTGGTATAGTTATTGCAGAGGAACCGTGGTCATCTACCAAATTGAAAATCATTCCGAAGGGCCATTTACCGATTCGTTGCGGCACCGATTTTCGACAACTTTTTATAATACAGTTACAGATAATACAGTTGCGAAAAAATGATACAATTTTACTAAAAAACATTTTTGGAAAATGGCGCCAACCGTAAAAGAATATAAGCAGTGATATTTTTTGTTTCCTTCACCCATTCTGGGTGGGCAAAGGGAAATATGCCTATACAGCCAAGTCTTCATTAGAATTTTTTTATTGATATTAAATGAAAATGAAATTTAATGAGATGAAATGGAATCTCACCCAACTCATTTAATCAAATCATTAAATCTGATATTGAAACAAATTAATAGCTCCTTTTTAGAAATATTTGAATGAATCATCAAACTTTCCATGAATTTTTTTTAGTAAACTTCGCTGTTGGTTTTTTTCTTTTTAATAGACATTATTTTGACTGTTGGGAAACAGAACGCACGAGTTCGGAAAAGATAAAGA